TGGAAAAGTAGACTTCCTTAACAAATGCCCTGTTCCCTGTCTTGAAGTCCTGCATAGTCACTGTGATGTAAACGTAAGTCATTCATTTCCAGCTAGACGAGGTCATTCTGCATGCACCAACAGGGACAGCTGGGTATTCTGGTCCCTTGGCCCTTTTCCCATTATTTCCCACCGTGCCGGTGACGTGTCTGCAGAACCCGTCACCAGGACAGAGTAAGAGGTAAGGAGTTTGAACCGTGCATATTGCAGAATGCGCATCAACATCTTCCCTTCTGAGATTTAACCAGAAGATCTAATGGCTGGGAGATTAAAAGGAAAATCTCTACTGAAGGTCTGAGGTGTGAGTGATATAAATTTCTACGAAACACCCGGAACAGAAGAAATGGGTGTGAATGGCCTGTTTATTTTTAAGGTGTGAACTGCATGGTTTTCAGCGAGTGGGGAGGGTGGCTAGCCGGCAGCGTTTATGACGCATATTTACGAAGAGGACACACGCCACCTGCAAGGTGCATTGGCAGGATGCAAAACACTTGAGTGGTATCGTCAGACTACTAATGATCTGGAAGGAGCCGCCTCGGAACACGCCGCTTACATTCCCTCAGCTCCCATCGAACGTGCGTCAGTCTGGGTGTCGTCTTCATCACGCGTGTAGTCGCTCTCTTATCTCTCTCTCCTTTTTACTGCCAAAGCCCAAAAGCATTGCAGCTCGAGTTAAGCTCTCGAAAGTCTCTGCCGCATACAAGTTCCTGTGTGCTGGGGAGCCAGCCGGGCCAGAATTTAATTGCTTGTTTATCCATTGTACTTGTTTTTTTTCCCTCCATGTGAAAAATGGCACAAATAAAAAAACGAGCAGATCAAAATGAGGGAGAAGGCTGCGGTCTCTCTGGTCCAGCGGGAAGCAGAGGTGATGGTTACATGCACAGCAGCTGCGGCCAACGTGATGGCCGCCACTTCACAAGCGCCGGTGCCTCGGATAACGCCTATGCCAGAACGGCGAGGATGTTCCCTCAGCCTCGGAATATCTTTGCATATATTTGAGAACAAACGGCCTCATGTGGAGCTGCACTGTGCATCTTACTCCGCGAAAAGAACAAAGGGGACGAGTCTGTGAATGAAGATGGCGACAGCTGATTTAACAATCAGTACCTGGGGGGGGGCAGGGGGGTTGCAAGGGAAGATTACATATAATGGACATCTCATAGAGTCTCCAGTGGGGGTGTTTAAGCAGTGGGTTGATGGGTAATATTTGGGATTTGGGTGGGTCAATGACCTTGCTCCATCCCATGGGGGACCTAACCTATCACAGGGGTTAAGGAGTCATTATACTAGGCCTATGGGGACACACAGATCCCGTGGGGGGGGGCACTGATTGACTGTAAATGGGATCAGTGATGGGAGCGTGACCATGCAGGCCCCCACTTTAACTGTGGCTCCAGATGCAATATGGGAACCTGCCCAGTGGTATTCTGGGATCATTTCCCATGATGCCCTGCAAGGACCAGTATCTCACATGAGGTTGTTGCAAATAGAAACGTCGAGTGATTCTGTGAGAGCTGTCACCCTCCACCCTCCCCCCCCAAAAAAAATTTTTTGGTATAACACCGTGCTGTTAGGTGTGCATTTGTATATTCTCTGCCCATGTTTCTATTGGACAAATGAGGTCAGAGCCACACGAGTTATTGTCATTGGAAGAGAAGAGGTCACATGACCGCACAAGTAGTCCATGTCTTTGCCTGACTAAAACCGAGAAATGACATTTTGACACAATTTTCAGCTAGGGAAAGAACTTGAGTCCCCCTAATGCATATTTAGTTATAAACTCATTAAGGCAGAATTCCCACCGTCCCCAGCACTCGCACACCCCTCCCACACCCGTACGGTTTATGTTTAACCCGACTCTAGTGATCGCTGTGTCAGGACTCTGTAAAGGACCAATCAGGAGGCTTAATATGTGCCTGCATGGATACTGAAGCTGTTTAAGTGGCCCACTGATGCTCTTGCACAAATTGAGAATGGAAAAACACCACGTGATGATTAAAAATATTAGCATTTTTATTGTGCTGATGTTTAGGTTAGGATTACACCATCAACAAGCTCATTTATGCCTCAGATAAGTAAAAAAAAAAAAGTGACCACGGGATAACTGAACGTTAAGATAGAATAGACAGGAAGCATTTAGAAGGGCAGTATGAGCTAAGTACGGTTCAGGCTGCTCGTTCTTAGCTACTGGAGAGAGTAGCCAACCCATCAAAGATGAGAATAAAATGAATAGAAAACCAAATGCTGTAATACCATTCTATCTCTGCCTGACCAATTTGCTGTCAAATATTACTTTTTAATTTAATATTTTGTTCTTTCTCATCTTAGTTTCAGCAGCAGCAAAGAGTCTGGATTTAAGACGATTTGTCTTAAGAAGCACAGGCGGGCTCCTCATACAGTGATGGAGGTGATGGCTTCTGCAGGCGGATAATGCCTGTTTATTTAATCCTGCCTTTTTCTGATTAGTTCCAGCAGTTACTCTTAGTCAAACAAAACACTAACGAGCCTGTGAACCATTGCGATTATGAACTTTTGAACCAAACTGGATTATGGGTAATTTTAATGCAAATCCAGTGTAATACTTGCCTGTGTTTATCATTTTGGTTTTATATTTTGAGCCACTGGTTTGGTTTCAGGTTTGCACATACGTGCAGGTCTCTGCGATCTAGATATTGAGTTTCTTAACGTGAAACGTCTCAGTATTTAAGGAGGATGTTGTGATTCCACATGGGAGGTCGGGTCTTCTGCAGGAACAGAGATTTTCCAACTGCCCGGATGACAGATCGATCCCGCTAAGCGTCTGGCTTGAGTAGGAAATTCCAGTGGGATTCTCATCTGCCCCAAACAGGTTTTTTGGAAGGCTGAACTGGTCTTTTGCGTTAGCGGCTCTGGCTAGCACCGACCAGTTAGCCACACAGAAACCAATTTGAGACTGAATACCGAGGGCTGCTGGCTGTGCCCAGAGTTTCCAGTAGACGAGGTTGCCGTGTCACATCAGAGCAGCGTGGAAAAACTGAAAGTTGGTCGTAACAACAAAAACTGAAAAATCAGCTTGTTAAGATCAGGCTTTTCTTGGACTGATTGGACGTGGGCCTTCCAAAGGAGAATGCTCAAAGTCCTTTTGAGAGACTAGAAGATATTTCAGAGTGCCCACATTTAAAATTCATGCCAGTTAAACATGAATATTTCACTACTGGATTTTCACTTGATGTACTCGGTGCTCTCTCTCTGTAACACGGAGACGGAAAGCTAGGCACTCGCCGTTTAGTCACAATTTACAAGTCGACACAAAAATAGCCTGTTTGTGATGCCGGTGTCCGGGCTGGGAGGAATCACATTGTTGGCGCTTGCTGTCACTGTCTACCAGATTTTTTTTTTTGTTGTAAATGGGAGAGCGGAGCTCGCTGGAGCTGATATGAAGACCTGCAGGTCTAAACTTTGCAAGGATGGTGGGTTTCCTCGAATAAATTATTCCGCTGATCACAGTCATTACCGCTCGGGAAGTCGGCTGAGCAAACTGCTCATTTTATCGCTGTCAGCGGGGCCTGTTAATTAGGTCTTCTCCTTTTTTTGGACGGCGTGCTGCATGGCAGGGAGAACGCCGTCGGTCTGGGGCAGGATTTCCTGTTCCCTTTATGCACGCCGGGACAGCCGCAGAACAGCAGGCTGGAGTTAATGGCAAGCTGAAGCGTGGCTGCGGGACAGCGACGCCCCCTGTAGGTGAAGTGCCACAAAGTCACGTGTGTTGGCTGGATGGGATCATACTGCTGGTTCTTCCCATAGACATACTGGCGATGGGGGCGTCCACATCAGCTGTGGTGAAGGCCACATACACCCGTCACGCAAGGGTTCGGATCAGCGCTCCACAATGTTCACACTGTTTCTCTTTGAAAACTCAACACCTCTCCTGCTTTCCTGGAGGACAGGACTCATATTTTGTTGAGGAAGAATGTTGAGGTAATAAGAAAAGAAAAACAGGCAGATAAAATCAATACAAAACACAAAGAATCCTGGTGTTGTGCTCTGTGTATCCAGATCTCTGATGCTCGAGAAGAAAAGCATACAGAGAAATCATGCTTAGTGCAGGAAAGGGTAGATGATGACAAAAGCACACAGTGGGGGCCTGGTAGACTTTTCCTATTTGTTTTGTTGTGGACACATTTGGGGAGCCCCCATAAATACAGTGTGTGTGTCTGCGAGTGCCTCTGTGAGTGTCTGAGAGGAGTATGCATGTAAATGTGGTGTTTCTGAGTGGATGGATGATGGAGGTTAACTCCCAACACGTTAAATGGGTCCCACAACATCAGTAATCTCCCAGAAGCCAAAACAATGAATTTTACCCATGATGCACTGCTCACATTCCTTCACCGGTGTCGGATTTGCCAGAGTGTAGTGGACTCGTCTCGATCAAGACGATCACAGGTGTGACCGCCGGACACGAAAGCAGATGGAGAAACAGGATGAGGATCTCTTCTGGGTTTAGGTTTTCCTGGAAGCAGGCAGGAGCGTGGGAAAGGGGTCCTGCGTGAATTTCCTGAACCTGGAGCACAGCGGGTCCAATTTCTACCCGCAGTGAAGGAGAGGTCTGCCGAGAATGTAACTCCCATGTGCCTGGTGTCTCTCCCTCGCGATTCAGTGCCAGTCTTTCTGGTGTTTAAATTTTCTTTTTTTTTATTTAACTTGACATATCTCTCACGACAGACGCATCCCACACTCAGGAACCAGGCTGGCCCCGTTCCTGACATCTGTATGTGCCTTGAATATCTCCACTTCATCCCTCCTCGCGCTGCTTTCCTGAAACTTCAGCCCTGAATATATTAAACTGCCCCACCCCCACCTTGCAGCTTGTCTGAGAGAGTGTGTAAAAGCATGAGTGTGGCCACAGGAAGCGTAGCTCATGTGCTGCCATAATGAACACAAAGCCCCCCCCGCCCCCAACAATGAACACACATCCAAAGGTGTTAGCGAGCATCACCAATGTATTGTCGACATATGTCAAAACATACGGCGGTTATCAGGAGAAGGATCCACGACTTTCATACACATCCGTTTAGTTAAGAAATGACTAAATACATGGGAGAACTCACTAAGCTTACTGACCACACTGCGCACCATATGCACACGTTTCAACTCGCAGTGGCAGCTTACATTTTTCCGATAGGAGGAGCATATTTTGACATACAATGAGAAATACATTTTTAGTGCGGCGGATTTTCCTTTGTGACGCCCAGGCATTCCTTCGATACTGCAGCAAGGAGGTCGTTCGTTACATTCCTTTCTTTTACACGCCGAGTAGTTTAGCTGGCTGAAGGGTCTGATGTGAGGAATCCCTGTTGGAGAAGGTCACCACCTGAACATGGCTCGGAGCATGTCCTGCTGACTTTGTTGGCGACAACTTCATTTTCCCGACGTGTTCTCGGCACGGAACCGCTGTCTTCCCAGTAGACGGGTCACGCCCTGCCAATGTGGCTCCTGGAGAAGTTCAGTGAGACCACAGAGGAGTGAATCCTCATCTACGTGGCCTAAATTTGGTCCACCGGATCCCTCTCATTTGTTTCGGAGCCCGGGAACATTGACTGTGCCACTCTTTGTCATGGCCACCTTGACCACGCTGACACCTCCCGTTCTGGCAAACGGAGAACACGCCTATGACCAGATGTGAAGGACAGTGTCCGGGTGCTCGTCCATGAAAGCCCACTGGCTGCCACATGAGGCAGTGGCCTCACATTGGCTTTGTGGTGCCACAGCTGACACCAAGGTGTAGACCACGAAGAAAAACAATGGCTGAACAAAAAACCATGGAATGAAGCTACGATACAGTATGTCTTCTTCTTCTGTACACGTGCCTCCATGTTGGCCATTTCCACCGCCCCAACTGTCCCTCCAAGGTGGACCCATCTCGCCCTCATCCTGCTCCAGTGCTGGTGGGGGGTCTGGGTGGCTGTTTGCACAGTTTTGAGGCCACAGTCCACCCAGGAGAGGCGGAGCAGGAGGACGCGGACTGGCTGGAGGTTATACGTGCACCTGGGGCTCCTGCTCGCTCTGCAGGCTCTGGATGCTGGTGAGGATCTTCTTCTGGTGTCCCGCCAGCGTCACTCCCATGTTCCCCAGCTCACTGCCCCAGAAGGGAAGCCAGTAAAACATTGTCAGAGAAAGTGAATAATGCCCTAACAGCTGTCAAACAGCACTTGACATTTGGATGTAGATATAATCGCTTCAACATTTAGGCTGATGCATCCAGTCATCGCTTGATACTATATTGATCGCAGAAGCAACCTTTCCTGACTTGTTAGCACATTGCTAATGCACCCACGCTGCTTTCACACCTCCGGGTCCAAATTGGTAGTGCCGGGTGGGTGGATCTGGCGGTTTGACTCATGGCTTCCTACCTGGTGTCCATGCTGAGCACCGAGTCGAGCGTGATGTAGCCCGAGCTGGAGAAGTGCTCCTTGTACTGGCCCATCTTGATAGAGTCCAGCCACTCGTCCACAGTGCTGGTGCCGAGATCGGTCAGGCTGGGGTCCTGCCTGCAGGGAAAGGTGACCGAAACTATAAACCTGGTGCTCAGGGCAGAATAATGGGTCTGAGCTACAGGCAAATGGATTTGTGACCCGTATGCGCCTTTAAATCTTATTTCCCTCATGGGATTAATGTACGAATTAACAAACTAACTAACTATCTGTGTCTGTCTGTCTATCTATGTCTGTCTGTCTCCATATCTATCCATCTATCTGTCTGCCTGTCTTGTGTTCTGCTTATTCATCCCTCCATCCAACCAGTTGGTCACAGAACCCATTTGCAATTTTAAGCTACATGCGACTCTGTGGTTCCGCTCGGTCCACCGTCTCAGCGTTACCAGATGGTGCTGTTTGCCAGCTGCTTCAGGCTGCCTGGGCTGCGGATCAGCTGCTCCAGGGTGCTGACGATCTGGCAGAACTTGGGCCGTTCGCTGCGCCCTTTCTCCCAGCAGTGCAGCATTAGCTGGTGCAGCACTAGTGGGCAGTCCATGGGGGCGGGCAGGCGGTACCCTTCATCAATGGCCTTTATCACCTGCAGGAAGTGGCAGACACTGGCCGTCAGAGCGCCCTGCTGGATCTCTGTGCCGTCAGAGCGCCCTGCTGGATCTCTGTGCCGTCAGAGCGCCCTGCTGGATCTCTGTGCCACCCGAGCGCCCTGCTGGATCTCTGTGCCGCCCGGCCGTAAGATATCTGCAGCGGCACTCTGAGAAATGAATTAGCGACTCATAAATTCAGCTCCCCAAGCGTCGGCCTCTGTACGTTTTTACAAAAGGCATTAAACCGAACGATTTCATTAAAATTTATAACTGGAGAGAAATGCATAAGGCAGAGAGCCGGCCGGAGCCTTTGGGTTATACATCTGCTGAGCGGCCCAGTGGGGGAGGGCGGGGGGGCATGTTTTGCCAGTTCCTTTCAGCTGGCTCGCTTTGCATAGCCACATGCAAGAAAAAGTTCCTCTGTGAACATCCCTAGGTGGTTTCCAAAAAAAATAAGCGCTGTTACTGCTGTATGGAAAAGAGCAAAGCGCTGACAGCTCGAGTCCGGCTTTGTGGCAGCAGGCCGTGCCGGGGCCTGCTTACTCTCAGCAGGCCCCTTCTCGCTTTACCGCTACTGACGTCCAGAACACCCTTCCCGTTCCCCGGCCCTCACCCCGCGTGTCCCCCAGCACTAATCAGTCCTATTTACCCTACTGTCATACATCATAAGGCCGCATCTTTTTTGTGCTGCTGTCTTTTGCACAACTGTCACATTCTCTCAGCTGTCATTACTGCTCACTTACTGCAATGTTACTGCCCACTTACTGCAGTGTTACTGCCCACTTACTGCAGTGCTCACTCATGGTCAGACCTCTTTGCACTTCATTCTTCTCGTTTCTTTTTTATCCTTAAATTTCTTAATGCATATACAGTATATTTATATATTTTTGTAAAGACTTTTTTATTATATAAAGATTTTTATTATTTTCTTTTTTCTTCTGCATTGTCAAATTCTGCTGTGCACTGTATGATGATAATAAATGTATTCAATTGAATTAAATGCAGTTTATTTTTACATAGCACCTTTAGCCAAGGCCCTTTACCTGGGTGTGTTGTAATGCATAACTACCTTATCTATTCTGTTCTATTCTATCTGCCTTGGTTGGAGTACGACCTCAGTGGTCAGGACTACAGGAGGATGAAATGTGCAACCAAAGGACAGGGATGTGAAGGCGAGATGAATGACTAGAGGTCTCTGAGTACATGAGTTTCTAATGGCTCCTCCCTTCTTCCTGTCTGATATTTCCTGTTTGACTCATGTGTTTGCTTCCTCTCTCTCTACACCGGGCTCAGCAGACAAAATCCAAACCCCTAATGGCTGTAAAACAGCTGGGAGAAGATTCACTGGACCACTGCTACAGCCTGTCAAGTTGAAGGTGGTGCGTCTCACGCCTTGATTGGACGCGTTCTCATATAGCAGCTGGTTTATAGGAGTAAGCCCTCAAACTCACGTCCTGATTGGACATCTCCTCATATAGCAGCTGGTTTATAAGAGTAAGCCCCCAAACTCACGTCCTGATTGGACATCTCCCAGTAGGGCCGCTCGCCATAGGAGACCACCTCCCACATGACGATGCCGTAGCTCCACACGTCGCTGGCCGACGTAAACTTCCGGTAGGCGATGGCCTCGGGTGCTGTCCACCGGATGGGGATCTTCCCTCCCTGGGAAACAAAAACGCCCCGGTTTAGTCACAGCACACATTTCTGCACACCCAGCATCATTCAGTAAAACGCTCATACATCATGCTTCATGCAATCGCAGGGCTAGCAGAACTTTGCAGGATTTCTTGACAAACTATGGAATATAACTCTGCAAATACACAGGCCTGATCCAGCCCCAGTGGTTTCTGCTTGTCCCTACAGGTGTCATGGACACGGGGCATGACGCCGACGAGGAAAGTATGACGATCCACAGTGCAGCTCCAAGACGACAGGGGTTTATTAATAACAAAACACAAACCAGAAAATAAAGGAACCACGAGGGGTCAAAAGGCAATAACAACAAAACACAGGAGAACAGAGCTGGGCAACACAGGGAACAAAGCTAAGGGAAAAAATAACTACACTAAACACAGAAATCCAATACACACAGAAACAAAGCACAGGATAAACAGCATGCGATACAATGACCAACTGAGGGAACATAACACAGGCAGGCACTAAAATACAGATAACAGTGACTAACAAAAGGCGGGTATGAATACTCAAAACAATCAACCAATCAGAACAGACACTGGAAACAGGACACAGGAGGAATTAACTAACAATTAAACAGATCTAAGGGGCTATGAACCTGCAACTAGGGAGAACTCTACACTAGGAAAATGAAACAAAAGGACAAAAAAAAAGCCGAATAGAACGCAAGGAGGGCAAAGACAAAGAAACTCAAATAGGGAATTAACCAAAACACTGGAGAAAAGAGAAAACACCAAATAACTGACAAGGCTGGTCTGAGGCTAGCTTCAAACCCAAGAGCTATGGGCTACTGAGTACATGCCACACACTCCAGCCACTAAGCTATGTAGCGACCCAGTCAAGAAAAGGCTAAATACAAAAGGGGAAAAGCAGGCAAAATGGCCAGCAATGCCTGCTGGCCGAAAATGTGAAAGGGTCACAGGGGGCGGGGTTGGACAGTACAGACCCCGACAACAGGTGTAGACTGTTTCTGAAGGTCACTTTTCATCTGAACCACAGAGTCTTTCTCAGAGTTCACCTGTGTAGGTGTGGTAGTTAAATTATAAATCAACCTCTTTGATAACTGTGGCTGAGCCACTTAGAATAAAACTCTGGTCCTCTCAGTTGGTGAGTAAAGTAATCTCTTTTATTTCAGCAATTCCAGCAAAGCGCTCCTGTCACACTCTGGCACTCGGTACCAAGTCACACCCAGCACACAGAGCAACCAGTCAATAAACCATAACACCCAATTCCCAATAAGGACTTCTAAGTCCTGATTGGTCACAAAACACCAACAGACCAAGTTCAAAGGTATAACAAACACGATTCTCCTGCTCTATTGGTTCACCCATTTTGCTCAATTTACTGGAATCTGTCTCCGCTTCTAGACTCTTGAGATATGTATATAGATATCGATTATATTACATTGAATCACTGTAAATATTTGGTTGTCCTTTGATTAATGATTAACGCATTGACATATTGTCATTGAATCACTGCAAATACATGGTTAACATATGATTAGTATGATGAACGTAAAAGTTACTAAATATATTTGCACTACAGCATAACATATCGTGTATTGTCTACTGCAACTATTTTATAACTCTTTGTGAACCAGTTAGGGCAACTTCGATTCCCTTCCTGCGGATAATTTCTCCCCCCACCCCTTACTCCGCTGTCTGTCTGTCCAAGGTCCGATCTTTCTTCAGGGTCTGCGGAACTAACCACATGCAGCTATCATGAAGCGAGGATGCACACTATTCAAAACAATCTCTTCTTGCCTAAGGCCTAAGACATAACAGACCCAATATGCCTCCCCTCCCGGGCCTACCAATGTCCAATTTTCCTTCCACATAGGCACAGGTCTCTTGTTCTTGTTTACGTCCAACCGTGGTAAAGTACAGAAGCAAAATCGAATCCCTGATGCTGTCACATTCTTACTCGGTAGGAACTTGAGCCTGGACCACCATTACAGCAGCTGTAACTCAGCCAGCCACGACTCATGGGAAGTAGGAAGTATGGCAAAACCTTATAAGGGTTTCTAAATTAGCCTTACTTATGAAAAGAGGCACGGCCCTTAAGCAGATGAAAATGGCCTAACTTCACTGGCATGTTCGAAGGCTCACAGTGCACAGCTTCTGTTTTCACAGGCCTTGTTGATGATTGTGTTTTGAGTGCTGGGCTTGGATTGGCCTGTATCTCCTTTCAGAGGCTTCCCTGTTGGACTGTATTTCTGTTGTTTCGACAAAGACCCAATAACCGCCTGCGTAGGTGTGTTAATCTTTTTTATGCTTTCAAATTGGCAGTGCAGTGCTGGCCAGTTAAACCATTCCACGAGGACTGTATTGGACTTTTTCTGTGTTGGGACTCTTATTTAAGCCTTCAGACTGTCCCTTTGGGTGGGTACCCCGATTACACTATGCTAAGCTTGAATATTTATCCAGGGTGACTTGAGTATTTTTTCCATTTATACACTTGGGTGTTTTTAGCGGATCAGGAGACGTGCTCAAGGTTGCAAATGCTGCTGTAACCTTCAAGGTACAAGCTTATGACCTTAACTACGTTACTGATTTGCTAGCCCAATTAATGCCAAATGATCATTGGAGAGAGAGCTGACGTCCTACCCTTGTGGTGTAAGCAGCCTCGGGGTCGTCCTCCAGCACGCGGGACAGGCCAAAATCGGACACCTTGCACACCAGGTTGCCGTTGACCAGGATGTTTCTGGCAGCCAGGTCGCGGTGCACGTAGTTCATCTCGGACAGGTACTTCATGCCAGCGGCGATGCCGCGCAGCATGCCCAGCAGCTGGATGATTGTGAACTGCCCGTCGTGTTTCTGAGGCAGGAAGGGTGCAGAAGACAGGAAGTCATGTCCCCGTCGTAAGTCATGGCAGCGTCCATTCTCAAGCTAAACCCTCTCAGCCCTCGCCTTAATCCAGGAACTGAGCAGCAAATTTCCAAAACTCAGTCCGATATCCTAAGCACATGTCCAAATCAACACAAAAATGGTTAGCTGACCGCAGAATCAAGCTTCTGCCATGGCCATCTCAGTCCCCTGACCTGAACCCCACTGAAAACCTGTGGGCTGAGCTGAAGAGGAGAGAGCACAAGAGATGGCTTAGGACCCTGGATGATCTGGAGAGATTCTGTAAAGAGGAATGGACTCAGATGCCCTGCTTGGTATTCTCCAACTTATAAAATGTTATAGGAGAAGACAGTGCTGTTATACTGGCGAAGGGAGGTTGTATTAAGTATTAACAGCAGAGGTACCAATAATCGCGGCACATGTGTTTTTGATAAAGGTAATTATTTCTTGATGAAAGATTTGTTTTTCTTTGAATAAATTTATTTCAATGAAAGGTTGTATTTTTCTCATTTTGTCAGTGTGAGATGAAGCTGCTTCACCAAAAGGTGGATTTTTTCTAACTGTTTTTACAAATCTTTACAAGGGGTGCCAATAATTGCGGAGGGCATTGCATTCCAACTAGGAACTTTTGTTAAGTTTCCACAGAAATTTTTGTCATAAGCCTATTTTGTGGAGTGGGTGAGTTTTGGAAACGTGCTTGTCGCTTGTTCTTCACATTGATGCATATGTGATTGCGATGTCCCAGAATGCAACCCTGGTGGAATGAGAACTCAATGCCGGGACCTTGAAAACTCAGAAATCGTAGCTGACAATACACAGAACTTGAAACTAGGAAATCAAGGTGAAAAATACTGGAACATCTGGGTATAGAAATGTGAGGAATTTGTTCTTGGGCGTATGTATAGGAAAACCAATTCCCCGATGGGCAAGGTCTGGCTTTCTAGGCCTGTACATTAAGAGGCTCCTGGTAGCATATGAAAACCTCTATTCACTCAATGTTTTTTTTCCTACGGCTCTGCCTTTGAGTGCTGTCATCACGAAGATCGCCACTCTGATCTCCGATAGGGCCTACAAGCACCAGCCAAACCCTCCCAAGCCAAAGGACTCTGACTCTCCCATGAGATAAACATGGCGGTGGCGTGTCGGCTATCGCGACACAGGCTGAACGTGGGATACGGCTGTTTTACACAGTTGCTCTATACAGTATATCTGAACAAGCGATCGAGCGAGTGAAGCTTAATTGATGAAAGGCCTAATTAAATGCATGTTTTCTGAAAGACGGATGACGATGAGCTATCGGCCGTAAAAACCAAAACCATTATTATATTAGCTTTTTTATGGGAGCGCTGGGTAATATTTATGGCTCTTGGTCCATTATGTCTCCGCTAGCAACCTGAATGTCGCAGACAGTTTTTATTTTCCATTTCCATCTCTACACATCCGTAATTAAAAAGGGTCGTCACTAAATGATGGAAACTCAGGCCCACTTCTAACCTCCGGAGCGTGGGGGGGTTCAGTCTGATTAAAGTGTAACTAGAGTCCTCCAAATACAAGCATGTTCCTCTACATCTCATGCTACCCAGGTTGAAGGTAAGTAGTGTTGTGATCTTTTGTGTTGTGAGTGATTAACGTGTTGGAATCACATTAACAGACAAAATAATTGCTTTAACCGGCTCTGACTGTTTGACTAATTATTTTTTAAAGTGATATTTCCTTTAGCAGATTGACTCTGGACTGGAAAGGTGGTCACTCTCATGGACTGTGAGCCGGTTGGTGTCTCGTACCTTGAGGAAGGTGTCCAGAGAGCCATTTTCCATGAACTCTGTGATAATCATCACAGGCTTACCTGCCAAGGAGAAAACAGGGACGATAAATGGCAAAGAAAGAAGACTGGAGGGTGTGAGCCAACAGCGGGGCGGGGGGACCGGGGACTGACAGCTTCTCTCAACCCCCGCAGGACACGGCAACACAACGGGGAGGCCTGCCACTGTCCTTCCAGCTACCTTCCTCTGCCTGCCCACCAGCAGGTAGGCCTCCGTCACTGCAGCAGGCTGTAATTAAAGGCGTCAATAACTGTCAGGCCCTGAGGAGACTGAATGGTCCACTGGGGATATCTTTGTACGGGAAGACTAGAGCTGTTAGCGGGCACTTGCAGGGGGAGGGGTCTGTTTTGGGGGGCTTAGAGCACAAAGTAGTTAGCTCATGATGAATGGCCTTACAGAGAAGATAAGTGTGGGTACAAGAGGTATAGCAGGAATAGGCTTTACCCAGCGCACCTGGCCCTCCAGCGCCCCACAGCCATGGAAAACGCTTCCAGTACAAGACACTAATACAACCCAATGCACGCTTGCCAGCCCGGGCAGGATTACATCTGAATAAACAGATAAAATATCTCGTCATTGGCCGAGCCAGTGCCGGGAGACAGGAGAGCACAGGCACAATGAATCTCGCATCAGACACGGAGAATTAGTGCCCGGCTAAGAGCAGCCAAATGACCTTGACACCACCCCTTGTCTTTTATTGAGAGAATAGTGGCTTAGAGCAGCTGCTGTCGTCCTGTGATTTTCTCTAGCCAACAGAGAGACTGCATTTGTTGGCCATGTGGAAGCAGAGGTGTGTTTGTGTGCTTTGAGATACCTGATCAGACCGTATGATCAAGGCCCAGTGAGCATCGCACATCATTGCATGTCAAAGGCCAGGAAATCCGGTCACATTTCCATCAATATTCACAGAAATAAACACGCAACCCTATGTGTTTATGAAACTTTACAGGTTCAGAAATAACACATTTCAATTTTAAAGGTCTACTGTTCAATACACTCCCTTTCGGGACCATCCACCTGTTGCTTTGACTGTTCGCGATATTTTGTATGTGATATCCAGGTCTGCGTTCAGGGAGCAGGTTGGAGTTACAGGAGGCAGCTCCATTCCTCCAAACCCCACAGATGTCTGACAGCACGGTTATGGTGTGTGTTCTGCTGTTCTGTGCAGTGTGTCAGTGGACAGGGTGCTCAAGTACACCTTGGTGGGGGGGGGGGGGGAGATTAGAGGAACTTGGTGATGGTATGGAAACGTCAAAGATACAGGCTGACACACAGACACATATAAACACACAGGTTTGTATTTATATCTTTATGGGAACTCTCCATTCATATCTATGGGCATAACCCTAATCCCAACAATGACAACCTTAACCCCTACACAGCCCTAACCTTAACCATGAGTAACCAAACCAAATACAAGAACTTTGGCATTTTTTTTTTTTATTGCAGTCATGGGTTATTGTAATATTTAGTGTCCCTTATGGGGGCTGAAAAGGTCTGGAGCCTATGGGAACACAGCAGGGAACAACCCAGGATGGGGTGTCAACCCATTGCAGGGCACACAGTCACTCACACATACACACACACACCAGTCACTCACACATACACACACACACCAGTCACTCACACATACACAC